GCTCTGCGGGACGGGATAAAATTATCCGATCGGAATAAAATTTTGCACACATCCTTGTGTCATAGTATCGACAAGATTTCCGACCCGGCCCGACGAATCCGACAAACTTTTCCAAAATGGACCACCCTATTGTATAAGCAATTAAAAAGGGGTCTGGTGATGTTAATAAGTGGCTCTGATTGGTTGTGGTTGATAAGCACGCCTTACATAGACTAATATAATGTGACATGCGTAGCGGGAGTCAGGACCTCATCACCTCTGCGGTTATTAAGACAAACTCCCATGAGGCGGTCAACACTCAAAACTCATCTTTAGGCGCCACAAAAGGGATGTCGACATTTGGTGCCATTTTGGGGTAACAGTCTATACCACAGGTGTCAAAGTCAAGGCCCGGGGGCCAGATCTGGCCCGCCACATCGTTTTATGTGGCTCGCGAAAGCAAATCAAGCATGTCAAGTTCCATGATGATTGCTAAAGTCTGAACCAAAATTTCAAATTGTCATATGTAATCCACATTATTCTTGACTTCTGATTTTAGAAACTAGTTATTCATCAATTTTTTTGAGCCATGTATGTAATATGTGGAGGTGATTAAACATGTATATGGTTTCCCAAAATTCATAACGGCCCTCCAAGTCAAACCGTAACTACAATGTGGCCCGTGACAAAAATGAGTTTGACACCCCTGGTCTACACACACCTGAGGACTTACAGAAATAATATCAATAAAAATAAATATGGGATTATCTATTTGATTGAGTTTCTGCTCCTCCGCACCACATTTTAAATAGAAGGCGCAACGTACAACATTGACTACTGTGCACTTTCTAAAAACGACACATCAGGTACATGAATGATATAAATCAATCCCATAAAGACGGATAAAAGCTAGCGGGAGAACAATAAAGGTACAGGCTTCAAACTATGTTGCAACCCCATGCAATCAATTCAACCCCCGCAAAGCTTATAAGCTTCAATTTGTGTCGAGAGCTGCTGATTCAACTCAACTGTGGGCTTGCAGCTGTTGTGTTGTTTCGCTGGGTTGGATTTCTTTGGATGGTAAGGTGAGACTGTTGCAGGGTCCACACATTGGCAACATTTGTCAACTGAGAGGCTTAATGCCTGCCAGAGGGCACGGAAGTTAACAGGAACAGTATACCGGCGACTTTATCAGCATGGTGCAAAAGCTGTTACATTTCCAGGGGCAAGCATTTGCTGTAGCTACATCCCAGAACAGCCCCGGGCTGTTTTGATCCACGCCTATTAAGATGGGGCTTAATCAGATCGGCAAAGAAAGAGAGCTTGCTGGTCTTATGAGTAAAAGTATTTATACACAAGGGAAACACGATGTTCTTTTCACTGATATGAAAGGAGTGTTTGTAATTCGTGTTGTGGCAAGATCCATCCCCTCCCAACTTAGCTCAGGAGGCCTGACGAGGAAAACGACGCCTTGTCTTTGCCTCAAAGGAGTGCGAAGCTGCAAAATGATGAGAGGCCGAGTGAGAGGTAAAGCAGGGGACACGCATTTGTGTCGAACTCCTTTCCCCAGATGGCCATGTGGCAGGACCTGTGTGATCAGAGATCTAATAAAGAGGCAGATATGCTGCGGCTCCTTTCCTGGAAGGGAGTCGTTGCCATGGCAGCCGCACCCCTTGCATCGCAGGTTAATAGTGGGAAATTAGAATTTGCTTCTCACACACCAACTTTGAGCTGCACCTAAGGCATTGGGCCAGCATTACACACGAGAAGAACACCACAGTGCTGGAGTACAAGCAGGAAAGCTGGGCTCACTTTGGTACGCATTATTTTTTGTCTTGGGAAGGGTACCAAAACAGTTACTCTGCAATACCCATTTTACCACTTTTGTGGTGTTCGTGGCGAGACTACCAACGAGCACAGCATGAGGCAGAAATTAAGTGCCTATCATCAATGTCGGGTGTACTCTATACCTCATGTTGCTATCATATACTGTTGCACACCAACATCAATGCAATACCTCCCTATACTGAAAAAAAAAATTGAATTTACTGAATTTCATTCCATCAACTAAAGGGTTGCGCAAATTAAAATCATCTGGATCCAGATACATTTTTTTTTTGTAGACTATGCATCAACTTCAAAATATGTCTGGATGCAGGTGATTTTATTTTGCGCAACCACTCGGCGAAATAAAAATGAGTAAATCCACCATTTTCACTTTACAATCATGTTTAATCAATCATTTAATTCACCCCCAAAAATTTGCTATCTAATTTTGATGGAACTGATTTGAATGCTATCAATATATAGCAGCTGAAAGGTGTACCTTCATGGCTGACAGGCTTCCTTCTGCAACAAAGCATTACGCGCGTCAATTTTCATCAAAACGGATCCACTCAAACATATTCAACGTCATAATTTTCACTTGTCAAAAAAATATTCAGACTTTCAAACTGGAGGCGACATAGTCATAGACAAGAAGAAGTTTTCAATCTGATCTTGACTGAAAAGAAGGATTGGTGTTCAGAGGGACGATATTTCCTCTATTTTGATGACGGCACTGCTTTAAAGGTCAGCGATATCAACTTTATCGTTGGATGTGCGTCTTTTTGCTTCACCGCTCATTTATTCAGGCTTGTGTCATGAAGTTTGCCCTGTCTGCATGTAGATGTCGTGGCGCTTTAAAACAAATGCGAGAAAAACACGGTGTGTTTTGGAAAACAAGTCCAAGAAATTTGCACATGCCACTTTTTTCGGTTCACTCTCAACCGCTTTTCTTTTTTTTTTCTCTGGCTACACCGTGGATGAAAACAGCAACCGGGTTGCTCCCAAAGCTACAGCTCAGACAGTAAATGATAAAACGCTGTCATTTCTCTGCTCCCCTTAGAGATGAGGAAGCAGAGGAGGAAGAAGCCAAACAAGTGACAGCTCCAAGAGAAAAAGACATTTCTCTCTCGTGCTTTCTGTTTGAAGGTACATGTGCTCTCACTCCTTGTCTTATCTGGCCCGAAATCTGTTCACTGTCACAATATGTCGGCCTGTCTGTTTTGTTCATCCATGGACACCGAACACCACAAAAACTACACGGCCCGCAACACTTTGGACTTAATAACTGTCACCTTAATGCAACAAACATTGCTGAGAGAGGTCTCGAGCAACTTGTTTTTTAAAAAAGCAAAAAATGACAACAGTGCAAACGGTGCTAAAGTACGAGTCATTAATAATTGCAAAATGTAATGTGTAGTTATGCAGACTAAAATCTTTCGCAAACTTTTCCTACTCTTTGCCAATCTCCTCGCCCTGTCCAACACACACGCAGTTAAACGCAACGTGACGGTTTTCAAAAGACTAAAATGTGTAAAGCACTTCCCAAAACAGTGATCGGTAAAGAAATCCACGTGTCAAAAGTGTCGACTTGAAGCTGTTGCTCAGCGTGTAGACATATGAACAGTGTGGTTGTCATGGCTGCCAGGCATATAACCCAATAAATATTTCATTCCAACCAACAATTTGGTTACTTTCAACAGAAATAACCCAGAATTTTGCCCAGAAAATAAACAATCAATAAATTGAATTAATGAAATAACCCAACTGTTTTTCGACTATAGGCTCCATCTCACCTGTGACCCAACTGAGGACAGGCGGTAGAGAAAATGGATGGATGGACGCACCTTTATTATCCTTCCATTCATCCATTTTCAACACCGCTTATCCCGAACGGGATCACGGGGAGTTGCCGGAACCTATCCCAGCTGACTTCAGGTGGAAGGCAGACTACACCCTAAACTGGTCAACAGTCAGTCGCAAGGCCCATAAAAAGACAAACGACCATTCACACCCACATCCATACGGTCACTGAGTGGGAACCGATCCCACACAAGTCAGGCGAGTGTACCACTACACCATCAGCGACTGCACCTTTATTATTCATTCATTTATTCATTTATTTATTTATTCCCATCACAAGGCATCCACACAGGTAGGCCAGATTTGATATTTGTACCTCAAAGCTCACAACTGCATGCAGGCGTGCTCAGCAATTGGGTAAGATATCAATCAGAATGTTATTGAGAGAAATAAGAGTTTCCCTTCAATAAATTCCTTGTCCCTTGAAGCCTGGTACTATCTGCAGTTTAGTAAATAGACTTTGCAGCCTATAAAACGCGACTGATTCTGCACTGGATTGGCATGTGTTCCCAAGTGTCCCACGTGCTAAATTGATTATTCCCAAACAACAAAGCTTTATTTACCTTGTGTTTACGTCGTGTTTGTTTGGAACCAAAGTGCAAGTTACTTCTCTGAGCCACAAACCAAAGTTATATCCATTTTCAAACCCTACAATATAAAGCTGTATTGAAAATATATGAATGACATTTGCGTTACTCTTCACCGCAAAGAACCTTGAGCAAAGAACCTTGTCACGTAAACAAATCAATAAGATGAACATTCAAACAAGGACATTTACTCCATGCAACTCTATTGGCTCCTCGAGTTAGTCGCTCCGCTGAGCCTCCCTAAATAAATTCTCATGCTAGGACGGGTATAGGGAGGGACTTTGTGTTCCCATGGTGTCGGGTAGAGAGCAGATGGTGAGGCTGCACTGGTGCCGGTGTCGGTGTCGGACGAGTCTCAGTGCGGCTGACCTGCAGCAACCAGACGCTCGTCACTGCAATCTCGCCTAACGGGGGATCTATTGCGCTGATTTCTGTGTTGACAACTTGCTGAAATTTGCGCATCTCGTCGCGCAATATCGTCGTCGTCAGTGTGGAGGAGCTGCGGATGGTGCACGGGTCGAGCATCCTTGTTTTCCAGCGCTTCGTACGGTGAGACCATTGCGCGTTATTTATGCTCTGAAATGTTCGCTGCAGATCGAAGGTAATAGGTAAACCTTGGATAAAGTTAGTCATTTTTATTCCTCTGTTTTGTGAACACACTGGGGGAAAAAATGATCAATTTTTCACAAGGCGTACGGTGGTCCTCGTGCAGCGCATCAACGCTGCACATAAAAAATAAATAATTTCACATTGCCACCGACACAATCGTCTAGTTGGTAAAAACGCGTTATGGAATAGCGTGAGGGGAAAAAAATACATTTGTTGTGAAAGTATGCAGTCATCTGCTAAAATATGTACACTGGGTGAAAAGTCCAGAAAACATTTTCAAGGACGTGATGTGTAGATATGATTGTGATGAAGGTTTGTATTTCAGAGGGAGCAAAACAAAGAACGTGTGACTGCGGTGTTAGACTGTTTATTCAATGGAGCAACTTGAATGGATTAAGTTATCCAACAAGATGACCGCGATTGTTGTTGTCTTGACAATATAAGTGCACTTGACTGTGATTACACTAACAATGCACGAACTGCAGTGTCAGAGTGCCACCGAAACAATCGACCCGACAACTATGCTGACCATCAGAACGATTTGCATGCCCATGAGAGCAGACTGTGGCTTGGCTCCAGATTTTAGCAGATGTGAGCGCTTGAATACTGAAGAGAGTGTGCAGACGCTGGGGGTGTACATTGTTAGAGGAATCACCTTTGTCAAGTGGTCCATTGTTTCATTAGATGCATTACACCTGTTACTAAAACCAACATCACCAAAAAAAAAAAGCGGATTACAAACTCGGAGGTTGATTTCGAATTGCAACAAGAGAAATGTGATGGTTTGTTTCATCATCTATAGACTGTCAAGCACAACCATACAACTTTGTGGTGTTTACTTTGTCTAGATAACAAAAGGAGACCCACATGTCACCGTCCATGATTGGTGACCTTAACCCAGTTGTTACAATGTCCATGCGCTCAGTTGGTAACATCTAGGGAAACAAAGGAACTTTTTGCTGTCTTTGTGTTGCCGTGTGTTTGTTGGGTCATTGTGCTTAACTGCGCTGGTTGTTGGGATTGAGCTGAAGGTAGAAATGTTGTGGAACATGGTGAGGTTTTGTTATCAACGTCAACAAAGAAGAAAACGCGCTGTACACATGAGCACGGAATTGTCTTACATATGCTAGTGTACAATAGAGAATTAAGTTTTGCGACTTCACTTTGATGTTTCATCTGACAAAAAAAAAAATGAAGATGTGATGAGTGGAGCAAAAAAAAAAGTCAAGATTTTGAGCAAGTGTTTATTCTGGCTCAAAGATGGTTGTGCGAATTGTACATATGCAGACATGCTACGCTTTAATTTTACGCTTTAAAGTCGTTGCAATGTACGCTCCTTTAGTTTCATGGCATAGTATTTTCATTTCGGTCCATCTGTCCTCCCCTATGACCTTCCTGCTTCAGCAGAGCTGTGCATCCGCTCCCTCCTTTTGGACTAAGAGGACATGCATCTATATCTCCTGCTCAGCTCTGCAGCTCTGCCATCAGCAGCTGCACCAAAGCCCTGCGTGATGTGAAGTGAAACTCTTGCATACTAATAGAGCACCAATAGGATGTCTCAGGGCGGCTGGAGCAGAGACCAAATACTGAAAACATCAGGCGGCGCGGCTCAGTTCATCCATGATTCTGGAGAAAACCGCTATGTTGTGTGACTTTATTAATGATGTCCATTCTGGGTTTGCGTTACAATAACATTCTCATTAGCAAACTCTTTGGCAAATCCATTTAGCCCACTTTGGAGCATGAATGGCAGTATTCGCATTTGGTTATGAAACGCACGATGGTGGCATGGGCGTTGTCATGGTGACGGCATGCTAGTGGGCCTGTGTGCGGTTGCTGATCCAGGAAAGGCTGTTTATATTTGGTGGCCAGTGAAAAGGCTGCTTAGAATCAGGGTAGTGGAGGCAGTACCGCAAGAAAAGGGATGCGCTGTTCAATCATATCTGGGAGATTCCACATCACGCAAAATCTGGTTGCACCAGTATGAATAAATGACCAGATGAACATCATAGCAAGCTGTGAGTACTAGTTTGTGAAACCTAATTTTGGAAAATTCCGAATAACTTATAATATCGCATTTGTACATTACGGATGGCATGAATCAGAGCAGCCTCATTACATCCCCATAATTACACTGGGCTGTCTTGTGACGTGGTTAATATTTGTGACCGAAGAGGCATCCTACTGTTCGGTTTGTGGATGGGTAGTTGGATTAAAACCTCATAAGGATCGGCTAAGCAAAGAAAATAAATCCCCCCTGCTGGAGCCTTCAATTCAAACATTTGATTGGATAATGTCAAGCTGTTGAGGGATTTTGCTGCTTATTCTTGTTGATTTGTGATTGTATGCATATCCTAAAATGCGAGGTAAAAAGTATTCTGTCAAAGTATCCATTGCAGTTAAAAAAATATATAATGGATGCAACTGAGTAAACTGTATTGGCTTGACAATGCCACATCTGTCCGCCGCTTCAGCCTGCAGAATTAATAATAGCTTCTCGGGATACAGTACAGACGCTGCTGCGTAGGCAGGGAGGGAATTAATCTCAGACCTAATCTCTCTCTTCCCTCAGAACAAGAGTTCACAAAGGTGTTATTCCAGCAAAGCCATTCTTACAGCCTTTTGCCAGATTAGCGCTTCACTCTCGGAGAAATCATCCTTTGGGTTCCCACGTCTCCCCGATTGATATTCTTGTCAAGCGATGAGACAAGCGTGAATATTTGCACTTCTTCCTCACGTTGCACATGAAAGGAAGTTTGTCTCATCAAATCAGATTCATTTTTATTGACATCCAGTAACACGTATTTATGTTGTTGTGATATGTGAATGGATTGAGGTGCGAGATGTCAACTACACTAAAAGGGACTTCAGAGAGGTGCTACGTTTGTACTTGTTCTGTTGGGCAACATATGGGCAAATCTATTATTGCAAACCATATAATATAGTTTCTCCAGAATCTTAATTTTTCATTGCCTTCACAATTCTCTGCTTACAAAGTTGTGACATTGGGGGAAGGGCCTTTTCTCTTCCAGCAGTGCACAAAGTGTTTTGTGTGAAGGAACTTCAACCTCACCAAACACCTTTGGGGTGAGTTGGAGCAAAGACTGTGAACCAAACGGTCCTCTCAATGGTCCAACACCTTGTCACCTATGACCCCACAAATGCTCTTCTGGATGAATGGACACACAGTTCCAAAGAAGCACTCCAACATAGTGTAAAAAAAGTCTTTCCAGAAGAGTGGAAGCTGCTATAACAGCAAAGGGTGAACCTACTCCATAGTTTCATCTATTTTCATGTCCTGTGGTGTAATGGCCAAGACTCCCATTAAGTACGAATGTGCTGCAGTGATTATGAAGCAAGCCATCAGCGAAATGGACCAAATGTGCCCAGCAGTGCTTCCTTGGATCAACAAGGTCATAGCAGCACAGAGAGAAGGAGAAAAAGAGAAGGGGATGGGGGGGAGCGAGGAAGCGAGGGAGAGAGGAAGGAATGGCTTTAGACACCCACGGCGCTGCCAGGTTGCCGAAAACCTGACTCCAGGTGTCAGTGATTCATGGCCTCCGCATGACAATAACAATTATTCTGGCTATCTCTGTGAATTTCATATCTGAGCAGCACAAACACACATTGCAAGAGTGATACCATTGCAGTTACACCACGATAGCTCACAACAACAGGCACGCGGTCTAATCAATCGGGTTGAAGAACCTAATGGCTAATTAAAGCGAAGTTGAGGTTGATTCATTTGGCATCTTCAGTAATATAAGAAGGATGTCCAGGAAAGCTGCCGGATGTACTTGGTAGGTGAGTTATGATCTATGTTTGAGAATGAAGAAGTCCTTTGTAGAGACAGGTGAGCTGATACAAAGCAAGTGTTCTTACTCTTAATAGTGAAAACAAACAGATTCTGTTCTGATGAGTTACACAAAAATTGTGTACATTATACTGAAATAATGGCTATTTTGTCTCAATTTACTCACAAATTGACTTACCGGTATTCATTGTGAAATCGGCCTTTTAGTTGAACACAAAGTCCACATATCCATATTTCACCGCTCATATACAGTATGCACACCGTAATGTATGTACATGTAAACAAACTACTGTAGGTGCACACTTGTGTGTGTGTGTGTGCGTACACTCGAGATGACACGACTGTAAATGCTACTACACTCGAGGTCATGCAAGGAATTTATTAACGACCATTACTCATGGACACATCCTGCAGCAGAATTACCGTATTATAATGTTTGGGTTTGTTTTGTTTTTTTGTCTGCCTTGTGACTAAGCACAAATGTACAAGCTTTAGCCTCTCAATTCCTGAGGGAAATATCTGGCTCTTAATCCATTATGTCCACTGCTTATAGTCCGATCTGATGGTGTACAGCAGGGGTGTCAAACATACGGCCTGCGGGCCGGAACCGGCCCCCAAGGAGGTTCGATCCGGCCCGCAGGATCATTTAAAAGTGGGAAAAAAATGCATTAAGGACACAGAATGAATATTTTAAATAAAATGCAATTCGTGGATAATCCACTAGGGGGGCACACTGTTTTGATCAGGGAAGAAAACAGCAGTCTCAGTCTCTCACCGAGATAGACTCAACGCAGCAAATGATATAAAAGCGCCAATCAATGTTTCTTGAGACCAAAACAAAGGAAAAAGATGATATTTTGGTGATTCATAGCACAGTATGGTATAATGTTAATGGTTCGGCCCACTTGACATCTCCCGAGTCCGTATGTGGCCCACAATGTGAAATGAGTTTGACAGCCCTGGTGTACAGTAGGTCGTTCGAGGTATTTCCCTGTAAACATGTGTCACCACCTACACTGCACACTGTTTTTTGTGTGGGTGCACAGTGGATATGAAAAGTCAACATACCGCTGTACAAATGCCATATTTTTGTAAGATAGTGAAGGAAATGAATACAAATGATATAAAGTTGGTGCCGTTGTGTGTACATCCTCTTAAATTTGGGAATGTATGAGTGTTTTTAATGAATCAATCACTTTCAAACTCATGTTAAATGTTGCCATCTTCTTGGACTTTCTCTGAGCAAAAGAGATTATGCAGAGAGAAGCAGTGATGTCATGTTATTGCAGAAAGATCGCGGGACTTACGAAGGACCCAATCAGCTCTCGTGTCATCCATCCACTGTGCACATTGGGAGCACATTTGCATTTTAGTGAAGCTTATTTTGTCTGTGCAAAAGAATCTCTGAGAATTTACATGCAGTGTCCAAAGGAAGTGTAATTTCTAGCATGCTTTAAGAATCAAGATTTGATTTGACTATTCAGTGTGGTAGTGATTGAAGCCCAGAGGGTCAACACAATTACAAAATAAAATCACCTTTTTTGTCCCTCTGTTACTTCCGCTTCTGAAAGTATTTGCAAACTTCACTAGATAAATCTGCACAATCTGATATATTGTAATTACTCGATTTAGATGGACATAATTGAAGGTGATGCATGTTGCACTAGTTTGCAGGGGTGTACGACGGCAATGTACTCTATTATGCTAAATAAGACGTACCCTAAGCTACATACAAGATCAAAATATTAGACACACCTCATCAAATGTGTAGTGGCGTCGACACCTCCACAAACTACAATAGCAAAACTAAATATTGTAAATTGATATCGCTCTGAAAACAAAACACGTATAATACATAAATATTTTTTCATACAGCTCTTACATAAGATCTCAAACCCAAATTGCCTACTTGTGGTTGGACAGTATTCTGCTTCTTTTACTTTCAAAATTTGTTTCTCCTCGCACGTCTTGCCTTTGCCCGAGCATGGATTAGGACACTCTGCCCAAAGCACAGTGCTGATATGTGAAAAATGTTTACGCGTCATATTTTTATGACTTTCTGTCATGAGCCCGCATCATGAGCAAGGAGTGATTAGCAGTGAAGAGCACACATTCTGTGTTTATTAAGCCTGTTGTGTAATGGGCTCAAAGCCATAGCTGCTGACTGTGCCAATCACACACACACACACACACACACACACACACACACACACACACGCACACG